CCCAAGCCTTGCACATAGTCCACAAGAAAGGATCTCCGAGTCTAGAGCTAAGGTTTGGGCTTTACCGTGGTACCGTCTTAAAGGAAATGACTACAGAACGACAGAAGATATATAAATATATTAAACACAGTGGCGGATTCAAGGGGCCCCAGCCGTCCCCCTTAATATTTTTCAAAATTTCAAAAAAACGGGAAAAAGGAGAAATTTCGAGTCTGAGAGTGTCATTTCCGGTCATCTAGATTAGAGGTGGCATAATCACAAATAGTCTTACCTCAGCCACCAAACATGGTCCGACTGAGGTGGTATACCTCCATCTGTGAAAGTCCCTCTCTGGGCCCCCTCTATTTAAAATTCATGGATCCTCCACTGAAACACATGAAGAAACAATATTGTTGCTGTTTATGGATAGCTTGGCTTGGCGTTTGGAAAGGTGGTGCCATCAGAGATTTGTATCCGGAGCAACAAAATAGACCTTGAATTCAGGATGTACGAGACCAAAGGTGGTATTAAGTTGGTTTTAATATACTGAACAACCGATGAGGCAAAGATGCAAAACAAAAGAGTCGTCGGATATACGAATTACTCGATAATCTACCGCCAAAGTTGAAGGGAGTTACCAATACATCTAATTTCAATACATAGCGAAGCCATGTGTTGAAATATATAGAATGCAAATGCTTGCCCCTCACCCCACTCCCATCCCACATCCCGCGTCCCCTATGAAAAATATCTGCGGGCCCGTATCCGGGGGGGGGGTAAGGGTGTTTATGGTTCGGAAAACCCCCTTTAGATTTTCCGGATGAGTCCTCAAACCGAACACTGCACTGCAGACTCAGCCAGAGTCAGGCAGAATGTTTTGCGCAAGACTTTTTTTTTAAAAACATAACTGCTTTTATAGCATTATTTAGACCCATAAAACACAAAAATCCTCTGGCTTCAGGGGTTTTGCTGACCCTCACAGGGGACCCCTCGCCAAAAGAACATGCATACATGTTCATTGCAGCGGATCCAGCGCGGTAAGAAAGAGGGGCATGAGTGTTCAAATTGAGTGAGAGTCTCAGGGAAGAGCCGGTAGGGGAGCAAGGGGCGAATCTTCCTTAAACCTCTAGCCCCTTCATTATGTTGAGTTGGTCTTTTGATTGATTTGTTACTATTTAGCATGGTAATTTTCTGATATGCTTTACAAAACAATTTTTTTTTATAGAGAGGGAGGTATACGCCCCTTACACCCCCGCCCTATAAATTAGCCACTGCATTTTGTATATAATGGATGCCTATTATAGTCTAACACCACGGTACATAAAATAAAATGCATAGGCCCTATATCTTTAGATGTTAAGCATTTAGTTATTGCTGTCCATAAATCCGTCAAAAGCCTTCACAATACGTCATGTTATCTCGGAGTGGCGATACTGCAAAGGGCCTCTTCACATCGTATGTATAACCTGTCTTTATTCATTCACATGGCACAAAGTAAATCAAATAAAGGACAATGCCAAGAACAATATTTTGAACTCAAAATATGCAAGGCATGAAGGTCAGAGACAATCACATAGACATTAAAACGGAACAAAAGGAAATAGATAAATATTACATGTAAATAGACTTTCAAATACCATAGACCTATTGTTACAGGTAAGTATACATAATTGATTAGAATCGGTTATTAACTATTGAATTGATGATTTGAGATAGCGACAATGAGCTTTTCCTCTAAGCCCCGCCCCTTGCATCTTGTTGCTAGGTACTACTGTTCTGATTGGTCAGTTGCTTAATTGGATTGACATTCCAGAAAGGGCCATAATACACTAATAATCATTATTTGATTGATTGAGGGAAAGTACAATGCTGTTTATAATTAATTATTTGCAATTGAATAGAGGGTGGGTGGATGCATGATGGCGATTCATTCATTTGCATGAAAAATTAAAAATGAATAAGTTGTAGCTAATGTTGATAATTGTCTCTGAATAATTTAAAAGAAATTGGATTATTACATGTATAGTTTGAGAATCTGTTTTAGAACCACTAATATTCTTAGGTGATAGCCCTTTGAGCCATCTTCAGTGCAAAGTGGCTGAGGCTCGTAGCCAGCGTTGGAAAGATCAGAAATAATCTGGGATTACCTAGTAGGGTTAGTTACATATTTCCTTTCCTCTAATACAGACACATTTCTGGATTCGTTGTATCAATGAGGATTGCGTGATATAAAGGATAAGGTCGAAGAACATGACAAATGGGTTTCCATTACGTTGAAACATTAATTAACAATATATTGCAAAATTGTTGACAAAGTGATGCATCTTGATTGAATGCTTAGATTAAATGATATTTGTTGACTTTTCCGTATATATAGGCCTACCATTTCTTTTCTTAATCGGTTACTGTATTTATTTTGTGGTAACAAAATAAATTTTGTCAACAAAATATCATTTTGTCAAGACAAAATAGTATTTTGTCGACAAAATAGCGATGTCCCAAACGGTGCCCCGTATATTTTAAGGTTAGACCGTGATTGTCAAAAGTTCAAATACCCAGAGAGGGCGCTAACATTGAATTTAGAAAGGCTGCCAACGATTTACATACATTATTGAAAAGTGTTTAGTTTATGCTAGTCACTTGTTCCAGATACATCGGAAAACCCTTTGAAATTTTTCGGACATTTTTCGCCGCCATCATCGTCCCTATTATTATGTCGTTATTGTTAATTGTTAAAATGAGTACTATTTTGCTCTCCAATTCAAGAATCCTCTAATTCGAGACCATTTTTCTTTTTCCCAATACAGTATAATTACAAACTTAATTTAATTTTTAACACAAAGTAAATGGACACTGTGCCCCGAGACCACCCCACATTTGTAGATTCCAAAGGCGGTCTTAAATTGGAAGGCAGACTTAAATGTATTTTTATTAGCCTCCTATACAATACAGAAAAACTCATAACTTGTTTGCTGCCCCCTCTATCTTACTCCACGGCGAACTTTTCCCAGAACTTTTGCGTTCGGCGTAATGAACCAACGGTTGCAGTGAAAACACGGCACGATATCCGAGTTGCACCAAGAAAACAGGTTCAGCGGACTCACACTGACTAACATCAGTTTAGCAGTGTATGATAAATGGGCTATATAATTTTAAACACCTGTAATTTTTATTTATTTTTAAATATATATTTTTTTAATTTTTGGTATGCTATAGCGTGTGGTGATTTGCAGGTTCACACAAGATGTTTTTTAAACTATACTTAGAAACAACATCATGTCGGTGATTGAACTAGCGTTGTTTAATTATTGAAAATTACAAGACCTAGCGACTATTCCACTTAGTATCAACATAAAATTAATGTCTAGGCAGTGGGTGCACCGTTTGTTAGCCTACGCGTGATCTCCTTCCCCGCACCAGGCGCCCGAGGCCGACTAGTATCAATAGCGTTATGATAACAGAGGGATATCTTTGTAAAATAAGCAGTGAGTGTGTATTCAGATGATTGATGTCAGTTTTTCTGGCGGCAATTGGTCATACGATTATGTTGAGGCAAAAAATATGTCATCGAAAAAAGACGTGCGTCGAATTGAAACGGAATGTTAATATTTATTCACTGTGTCGCTGATAGCCAACTTCTTAAAGGATATTCAGCCTTCACAGTACACATCGGATGTTACATCCTGCCCAGTCCAACACGGTATTCATTGATTCTTAGGGACAGACTATATTGTTGTAGAGAATGGTTGAATAAGTTTAAGCGCTACCAGGTTAGACATTGTTAATTAAACCACGAGCGAGCGCAGGAAGTGGAGGCATAAAACCGTAAAACTATCTAATCGAGATATAACTTTACATTATTGGAATTGACAACACTGTATGTGGTTAAATATTGGAAATCTTCAAACGATCGATTGAATTTCTGATTTAAAACATTTAAAAAGATAAAGTAAGCTACGAACTTCAATTGAGATTTAGAAAGAAACAATTAAGAGATTTAAGAACCATCCATAATTTTCATCATTTTTAGAGAATGCGAAACATGTGCTTTGGAAGGAGTTGACAGTGTAGTCACATGTGGGCTCTACTGTTTCATAGAAAAAATTGATGATCTAAAAATTACGAAGACCATTTTGTTGTGTACACTTTTAGGGGGAAGAAGTGGGTCACAAAAAGTATGTTTTGTACCGGTACTCTTGTAAAAATGATGAAAATATGGATGATCCCTTATACAGGACATTTTCTTAAACATAAATTGCACCCTCCAATTCGCGACCCCTCAAATTCCAAGATACCACCTCTATTTCAAGACCACTTTTGCAAAGAACTAACTAACTATCGTCAACTTTTCAACACAAAGCTAACACTGTAATATAAATGGAGACCCTCCCAAATGTTCAGGTCCCAAAGTGGTTTCGAATTGAAAAGTGAATTGTTTTCTGTTTTAAATGATAGTCTGTGAAAGGATGCAAGTACTAGGCCTATAGGAACGGTAAAATTGCAAGGAAACAATTTCTCCTTCTAATTACCAGTAATAATGGAAACTAACAACTTATCCGGAATAAATATATAAGTAATATTGAAGTTATTGTGTTCAGTACTCATCACAGGAGTATCTTTAAGAAAATATGTGAATCTTATTTGACATCAACTAAATAAACACACTTTGGATGTGTCAACGTCATTTACATCAGTCAGCTTCCCACTTGTCAGCTGAGATGATTACCCACGCTTGATTGGTCGTTGCATTCACCTAATTCCACATCTTAGACCATCCTCATCTCTCTTTCTTTAAACTAGTTTTATATCGACCGGCAATTCTGAACGAGAAGGAGCTATCTGGAAGTGACACAATTCAGCCAAGCATTGCGATTCTTACTAGGCAAGGCTGTTTTATTATTGGATGGTTTTAGCCTTGGGTTGACTTTCACTGTTTCTGTTTAGCAGCTCCCTGCGTTTCTATTTTTAGTGTCGAACTTGTGAGCCATAGCTATACGATGAGACCCGTCTGTTCGTTAATTTCTGTGTCCTGTATTACTGCATTTATACTGGTTATCCTCATCGCAGACGATGTTGCGGCATATAACAGCTACCCAGTCTACGGAAGGTAAGGAAAAAATTAAGAACCAATTAATTTTGATGTACAGTATTTAACATAGGCCTAGGTACCGTAATACGGGTTGACGGTGGGGTTTACATCTCTCTAGGGGGACGGTAGCATATTTTAATTATGTGAGTAATTTAAGTATCACGGCAGCCAATTTCTGTTTTATTTTCGAATGGGAACAAATTAGTATAGTTTACAATATACCTAATACGCCTAGATGTTAAAAGGGCTTAAAAGAACAATGTAACCATGAGTAGCACCACAAAATCAGGCCTCAAAGAGGTAAATATAGTAAAGGTTAAGCTAGTTTTAATTTATTCTGTTTTAATTCGTATCATCATTTCTGCTAAATAAATTTCCATTGTATATTTTCTCATCAATTGTAGTTTGAGATCATTATATCCATCTCAAAACGGTTATAAAAATATCATTCAAAATCTTCAAATATACAACTGGTAGTACAGAAGTATCTAACTGCCATCAGATCGAACACATGCGTTACTATACGGTAACCGTTCTCCGTCTTTTTGTGGGGGAAAATAGACATGTTTTTGTATTCAATTAATTTATTTCATTACTTATTATAATAACTTACAGAAGAGGCCTCAGTGGATATTTACTACGAATATATTGTACATAATGTAAAGTCTCTCATAAGTTTACACCAATGATGATTTGATTTTAACCTTACCATTGCACAGCTACGTTTACGGGACGCGCGTTCTGGCTATTACGCGTGACGAACGTCAGTTTGTGTGGGAGAGAGGGGGGTTTAAGTGTGTGCCAAAAAGGTACCGACGTGTGCCCAGTTTGTATTCTTATTTATGGTTTTACAAAAGCCTAGCCGTTCCTTTCGAGTTGCGTTTACTACAAATGGTATTGCCAACAAACCGTTACAGTTATGCCAAAACAAATTTCACACTTAGTTGAGTAATTTGTATCAACCGTCAATGCGCAAAATACGTGACGTCAGGAATGTTTATTTCCTTTAAAAATATCAAGGATTGTGAGCCATTGAACATAGTAGTTTCTGTGACAAGAATGTAATTATTTTTTGCCTAGGCCTATAAGGCCCTGGCACTAAACATCCAGTGACGGTTGACACCCCTGTGGCTCCTCCCCTGATGGAGATCAAAATCCTCGCCGCTAACTTGTATTCTAACCTTGAATCAATAGCATTTCAATTTTCAACTACTACTTTAAACTCTTTATTAGATTTGATATCGAAGTAAGACGCTTGAATTTGATAGATCTAACTATTGTTGCTACTATTATGGAATGAGTCACATTGCTTTCACCTTTAATTAATAATAAATCATGATACATTTTCATAAGCCTATTCGAAGTATATCGATAGGGCCAACATTCCGGGTGTACGTTGAGCTTTCATGTTTCAGAGAGAAAGAGAGGGAGAGAGAGAGAGAGGGAGAAACAGTCTCTCTGAAATAGTACGGTATATTCTAATTCAATAATTGACGAATGCTAGTCGAGAATTCAAGCGTTTAACAATTAATTTGCGAGAATTTCCTGTGCGTTTTTTTAGTATCGTATTAATTCTTTTCACCCATGTTTTTAGAATTAATTTACAATTCCTGTTTATCCGTGTATCTATATCCTGGGGGATAATAAGTATGCAATTGATTATTTATAATATAAGTACGTTTCTTTTTTATTAGAAGAAAGGAATTATTTATGTTGTTCATTCCGTCGCATGTATCGTCTAGGCATATTAACATACGAACGCAGTCAGGATAGGTCTAGGTCTGTGTAATTTAATACTATAATAGTTTTATTAACGTTTAAAATTAGGCCAATTAGATATAGGATTACAATAAGATTGTATCCATCTCGCCTCTTATTCTGCCACTACCAGACAATAACATTGACTCTCTCTATAGACAGTATTTTCATAGTAAATATAATTTCCGGTTCTGATAATTGGACAAAATAGTATCTATACCTGCACCGTCACGTCTCGGTGACGTCTCGGTGCTTGCATGGCCGGATATCAGAGTTCACGAAACGCAAACAAAACACCTTATTATCAAGTTATAAACGCGCACGAATGTGTTCCACACTGACAGTCACAATGCATGGTGACAGGTCCTTAGCAGGAGGGGGAGGGGAGGTGTGCGACACCCCTTCCCCTAAATTATCAAAGATCCACATTTTGATAAGCTGGATTTATTTTTATTTATTTGTTTTATATACTGGGTTGCCTCTTCTGTAAATAGGTCTATTACTGTTCACGATTTTAAATAAGCATCGGACTTGACGTTAGCATAAAGTAATTATGTCCGTAGCTGAGGGTAAAGACGGAAACATAAATACTGTACTGTACCGATAATTTCATTGAGTAATATTACTATTAGTCACTAACCAATGTGCCGAACAGGCTGAACTATATACGTGTCTACTCCAGTAGCGTGGGGTACGCATGGGGGTGGGGGAGCACTCTTCTAAAAAGGTAGATAAAAATCACCTCATATCAGCCGAGCCAACGCCCCTCACTTAATCATCGAGTCATCACCTTCGTACTCCATCAGCCCCCCCCCCCCACCACCCATTTCAAGACTCACTCCACTGGTCTACACTAAGGATTACTATAATTGAAGCAGTGATATTAATATAGGCCTGATATTTAACAATAGTAATAATAATAATAATAATAAATAATAATAATAAAAATAATGTATTTTTATATTATCGACTTTGTCGTAATTATAATAGGCCAGATATATTTTTTGTTGCCATGAACGGTTATGTGTTACATGCTTATTTACCAACTTACAGAGTTCATGTCCTTTGTTGTACTTGTTAGCAAGGCAATTATTTGCGCCAGGGGGTTAAATACTACCAATACCTGTTCCTCTTCGTTGCTTTGCATCGCTGTTGGAACCGATTATACGAGTGATAAGCGTCGTGGATATTAGGCCCATGCTGGTATTGTCGAAAATTAATAAATTACTGTGCGTCGCGTATGTGCTCAGTTTTCACAACACTTTAAGCATAGCGAAAGCTAAGATGATATACTTTTATTTTCCTATAATATTATTTGTTAAAATAATACAATAATAACAACATAGGCTAACAATAACAATAATAATAATGGTAATAACAATAATGATATAAAGTAATTGGTACTTCATGTCAGTGTTGATAATACGCTAATAATCGGCTTAATCATAAATGCAATAATCACAGTGTTATTATAAAGTAGTATAACGCCAACACGTGAGAATTTTACTACCATTCGATCATCCTAACCACCAGCACGTGAGCACACAACCGCTATCACCGAAACCACGCGAGCATGAAACCACCATCACCGCCACCGCGCGAGCATGCAAGCACCATAACCACCTCCACGCGAGTACTATGCAACCAACATTCCGTCACCACGCGAGCATGCAATATTACCGATACAACGCAAGATACCACCACGGGCTAGTCCACAGCGCTTTGAGATTTCGGTATAAAGCGCAAAAAAAATCGAACTAGTACATTACAATACCATCACTGTCACTACGCGAGCACGCAGACATCATCACTGACACAACGCAAGCATACGACCAGCATTAGATTTACTTTAGGCCTATTGTTTATTTACTTATTTTTTAAGATATCAAGTGTTTCACCGCTTGTAGGCCTATACTTGTAAAACTCTTAAATATTCAGCAATTGAAATATTTTTGATTTAAAATTATTCTAATTCTTATTATTTTGTCGTTATTCTTATGCTAATTATTTCCGATACAATTTTATGAGGGAAAGATACAATTGATTTAATGTGATTTGAAGCTGTAGCCAGCACACGTCACCTCAAGGCCTACTTCAAACGTCAATCACGTGATCCTTCTTTGACTGCAAGCAACATTCATTGAATAGATCCACTATGCCACGCGACATTAAACAATTATAGCTTTAAAAAGATAAGTCGATGATGCGAACTTAACATACGATGAGCGAATGACCGTGAAGTACCGTAATTGAATTACTGGTTTATTAAATTGAAGACTGTCGAAATTAGTGGCATCAACAGGGTTATCACTGGTTTAAACATCGGCTTGGGCTTGGCTTCGCCATCTATATCGGAATTTCTCACATTCCATAATTCCAATTCTGGTTAATGTAATACAGTACTGGTAATTAGATGATTAATGAATATAGGAGTTTATATAATTTGTGTATCTTGATCTTTATTAGGGCCTACTGTTATAAGTTGAAAGTGAAAACGGATTAGAATTTTAATAGTTCATGAAGTTTGATTGAATTATGATGATTGAAAGATTAAAATGTTATGTGAATTTGGATGATCGACGGGTTTGTATACAGTAATGCTATACATTATAATCAAGTAGTGAATGGTAGAACTGATGAGAGAAACTGTAAAAAATATAGTTGAAAACTAAATTAGAAACAAGACCTAATTTATGCTTTATAGTAGCAGGACCGGTAGTATTTTTTGAGGCAATAGTATTCCTATCGAACAAAATAGCTGAATCAAATGTATGGCATACAGTGACCAGTGCCACCGCGGTAGTCAATGTTCATGGTCCTCCTACCAAAAAAATCGCACAATATGATCTCCACAAGCAGAGGCGTAAGTTGTAACGAAGAGTCAAGGGGCGGGATGGGGTGAGAAAATGTTGGAGGGTGGGGGTGCCGTGTCAGTAAAATATTTTCGCTTACGAAGTGTCCTGGGTGTGGCTAATGTCCTAACTAAAAAAACGACTGAAAAGATGTCATTTAACTTTTGAGTATTTATATATCAACTTTTGCTTTCACACAAAATCGCCAACTGTGCATCGTCCATTTGATATTTGTTGGTATTTGATATTTGTTGAAGCTTGGAACTCTAGTTGAAGCCTCTTTGAAGCGCCATCAATCGTTTTATTTATATTTATTTATAATGCGCCATTCAAGCAGTAAACAGGTAGACCAACACTGGGTTCAGGCTGCAGGCCCGTAACTAGGATTTTTTTGGGGGTTCAAATTTG